ATGGAACACAAGATGGCTTACTATTTATTCACACGTGGTCACTCTCACCCCCAAACACAAATATAACATGGTGGAGATCCGGATTGAAGTATAGCCGCTTATAAAATCCTCAAGTACCGTGTTTAAACTAATGAAAAGGGTGACATGATGGAATATTGACTTAGTATTCATTTCCTGAAATCCAGTTCATCATTGTGTAGATTCGTTGTAGTAGCCTAGAAGTCAATCAATCATTCAATAAAACAAGAGATTGCAGTTAGGAATTGACTTCTCAATAAAAAGTCAAGCTACAAATAATTGAAGTACAAACCAAGGCAAACACCACAGTAGCCTAACACATCGCAAAGAGTCAACTATTGAAGACACAAGAGCTTGTGTGATTAATGAGGAATAGGGAATAATCCAGACATGAAGATAAGCCCAGAAGATAGAAGATAGCCAAATGGTGCCATGGTGGTCGAAATTTCAAATTTGCAGCTTTAACAAGAAGTTTTTAGCTTTGACATGAACTCTTTCCAGTTTCCCAGTTTTTTGTTGTTGTTTTTTTTACTTTATATTAGGTTTGTATACCTTAAATGAATGAGTGTGACTGTGTAAGTGTGAATGTTACATTATCTATTATTATCAATATTTTGTCTCAATTTAACATTTAATATGGCTGCCGTCAAACCCTCTAAAATAGACAAATTTAATGGTTCTGTATTATCCAGAGACCCTGCATTAGCTCATTATCTTTGCTTTGAAGACTTTTTAGAATGTTCTGAAGAAAATGTTAATCCTCAATCAGCTGCAGAACTTAACAGATATCTTACATTGTTTAAACAGACATTAAACGGACCTGCAAGACTGTGGATTGAAGGTTGTGTATTCAATAGTAGAAGAGACATTAAAAAGCAATTCTTAGATCGATTTTCTGAAAACAAGTCTTCCTTTGGATTGAATAATGATTTCACGTCATTTCAGTACAACACAGACAAGACACCTACAGATAATTATGAAAAATTACAAAAACTTGCAATACAACTCAGTATAGGTGACGGACCTGCCAGACAGAAATTTCTAAGTATATTACCTAAAGCATGTCAACAAGTAGTCGCATTGTCAGTTAATGATACAACACCAATAACAGAAATTCTTAATAAAGTTCAATGTTTTTTTGATGTTCATGCTAATAATGCAACACACAAAGAAGTTACATTTTATGCTTCAAATGACATACATACATTACAAAATGAAATGTCAAATCTAAAATTACAACTTGCTAGTTGTAAACAAGAAAATGACGATATTCCTCAATCAAAACACGCATATGAAAGAAGTAGATCTCCAAGTGCACATCAATCTTCTTTGGGTAATAAATCACCTTATGGTAATCGTTCTCCATACCGGTCTAATTCTGATAGGTCTCCTACATGTTCTGACAGTAATGGTAGACATGGACATGTTATCTTTTGTAAGTATTGCTTAAAGCCTTATCAAGATTGGCAAGATTGTCGACTTAGACAACAGCATTTACAAGACAGAGATTTGGATTTTCAAAACAACCTGCATGGTTTCCCTTCTAATAACAGTACTTATACGGTTAGTTTACCAGTAACCACTAGAACAACTGGTAAAGTACAGTTGAATAGCCTTAACTATTGTAAGGGTCATTTTCCAGATTCAACTTCTGCTATAGTTCTAATTGACAGTGGATCACCAACTACTCTACTTTCGTCCCTTAGCTTTAACAATTCACATTATCTTCGTGGTTTACAATGCCAACCATTTCCCAAACCATTCAACTTAAATTTAGGTAATGGTGAAACAATAACTAGCACAAAGTCAGTTAGTATAAGTATCACTATTCAAGACCAGACATTTATCATTACTGCTTGTGTTGTTAATAATTTGGTAGGACTTATAACACAGATTGCGTACCACCCAAGATTAATTTTAAAACAACAGCTAATTCATACGTGAAGCCTCATGCTGTTCACTTTATAACCGTTCAAGGTAAAGTTCCCTCAGTTTTTCGTGGACAAGATCTTTTGCTGCATACGTATTCAGATGTAAATCTACCATGCCCACCTTTGCTATTATCTCGTTTAGAGCGGAATAAGACAGTTATTCCTATAACAAATACCACTAATAAGACAATTCATATTAAAGCATCAGAGACATTATTCTATGCACAGCCAACTGATATTCTAGCTTGTAATGCCGTCAAACTTGATTCTCACTCTAACACTACTACTGACACTAACAACGTTACATATCAAGATGTTTGTGAATCTATTGATCTATCTAAGTCTGTTTTAAATACACAACAAAGAGAAACATTTTATCAAATATTACATAAAAATCATGAAGTTTTCAGTTTCAAAGGTGAAGTAGATATTGAAGTAGATAATCTTGATCCATTTTACATTCGTCCTTTTACAGCTACAGAGTCTGAAAGAGCACTTATTGACAAGGAATTACAGAAACTAGTATCATTAGGTATC